CAAGGTGGTGCTTGCCTGCAGTCCCAGCTACTTGGGAGGCTGAGGCAGAAGGATCGCTTGAGGCCAGGAGTTTGAGGTTGCTGTGAGCTAGGCTGGTGCCATGGCACTCTAGGCTAGGCAACAGATTGAGACTCTGTCTCAAAAAAAAAAAAAATTTCTATCATAAAAAGTTTAAATAAAATGAAAAAAGTACCAATTTTAAGACAGTCTCAATTAAGAGGTAACCCTGTGGTACTGATTCCAAGATCAATGTTATACATAAGGCACTCAGAAGGCAAGGAACCCAGAATAACTGAGGGTAAGGGGGGTAGATTAAAGCAAGGGTGTAAGATTAAACCCAAGAAGGTAAGATTAAAAGGCAGACAGATGCCACATATATAGGGCCGTCTTCAGTGTGGGGATAGGACTGGATTTACATTAAAGAAAGAACATGTGACTATTCTCAGAATATTAAGATTAATATTCTGAGATATTAAGCAAGGGGCAAGGGCAAGATATTAAGGAAGGATGATCTTTTTTTTTATAGCCGGGCTTGGTGGCACATGCCTGTAGTCCCACCTACTCGGGAGGCTGAGGCAGCAGGATTGCTTGAGCCCAGGAGTTTGAGGTTGCTGTGAGCTAGGCTGATACCATGGTACTCTAGCCTAGGCAAGAGAGTGAGAAAAAAAAAAAAATTATCTGCCAAACACTCAAGCTTGAATAATCATAATTGGCCTGTCAGTTGTTCTTTTGAAGTGGCCTATGAAAGAGAGGGCTAGCTCAAATTTTGCAGCTCAAACTTTGCAACACAAACTATTTCACAAGTGTTTTTCTTTGAGACAACCACTATACTTTCATATGAAGCAAAAGTACTCTATGTGTACTTCTCATTTCATCACACAGAATTTAAAAACAAAAAAACCCACAAGCACTCAGGGGTTGAGATTTAATAAAATTTCAAGGACATTCTAAAGTAAAATTGGATTTTTTAAAAACTCCCACTACAACATGGTACCATGGCTTTGATCTGGGCTACAGTGCAAGTAGTCTTACCCGCTATTGCTTTTGCACCATCAGTGCAAATGTCAACACAGTGAAAACGACAAATGTCTTAGTGTTACTACGAAAACAGTGACCTTTGCATGATCACTATTTGACCTTGCATGCCACTGGACTGTTTTTTAAATTAAGTTTAAAACAATTTTAAATGACAAATAATAATTATGTATATTTGTGGGGTACAATGTGATGTTTTGATATATGTATATGTTGTAGAAAGAATAAATAAAGCTAATTAACATGTCCATCACCTCGAGTACTTATTTTATTGTATTGAGAACATTTAAAATCTACTCTGAGCAATTTGGAAATATGTTAATATGTTATTATCTGTATGTCACCATACAGATCATCATACAGTACAACAGATCACTAAAACTTTTTTTGAGACAGAGTCTCACTCTATCACCCAGGCTAGTGTGAGTGCCGTGGCATCAGCCTCGCTCACAGCAACCTCAAACTCCTGGGCTCAAGCAATCCTCCCGCCTCAGCCTCCCAAGCAGCTGGGATTACAGGCATGCGCCACCATGCCTGGATACATTTTTTATTTTTGGTAGACACAGGGTCTTGCTCTTTCTTGCTAAGGCTGGTCTCAAACTCCTGAGCTCAAGCGATTCTCCTGCCTCGCACTCCCAGAGTGTTAGGATTACAGGCGTGAGCCACTGTGTCGGGCTGATTCATTAAAACTTATTTCTCCTTTCTAACTGAAACTTTGTACCCTTTGACCACATCTCCTCTCTCCTTAACTCCCACCCACCTGCCGCCCAGCCTCTGAAAACTACCATTCTAATCTCTCCTTCTTAGAGTTTGAATTTTTTAGACCCACTGAACTATTCATTATCCTTTTCTAGCCACATGTCCTGCTCTGTTTGCCATCATTCTCATCTCTGTGACTTTCATATACTGTTCCTTTTGCCTGCATTGTCTTTTCCAACCAGGTGGCAAAATCCTTTTGTCTTTTAAGATCTGGTTTGGATTTCATTCCTGAGAAGTCTGTGTTAAGCTGATTTAATTACTCTTTCTTTTGTGCTTCTGTATCACTCTGCACATTGTTTTAAAATTTCACACTGAGGGCAGAGGGGCTACAAACATTTCAAAGCACTCAGTATGTGCCAGACTCGGTGCTAAGCTTTTTACATGTTTCCTAATTTAATTTCCTAATTAATTCTATGTGATAGGTATGATTATAGCCCTGTACAGGACCAGACAGAAAGCCAAAACCGAAGTCAAACCCAGGTCCATTATTTCAGCATAACTTTTCCTCCTATTTATTTCAGGGCCTGTAGCAAAGTTATTCAATTTATATCTCCTGAACGGTCAAATAAATGATCTTAGTAACTATCTAATCCCATAATGAAGGGCTCTATAATGTTCCTCATCTTTCAGAGCCTGAGGTCTGGCCTTCAGTATGGTATTTTTTCATTCTTCATTCCTTATGTACAGTTTAAGTTTGAAATCTTCATTTATTTATAGAAAAACTATTTTTATTTCTTTCAGTGTGTGTTCCCAGCTGGGATGATAATTTAATGGTCACACTGCCATCAAGCCTGAAACATAAATGTTGACATTTGATAGTATTGTTTTTCCTCTCAAAGTTGCTTCAAGTAAATACCAATAGTGTATCCAAGTAAATGAGGTAATTATTAAAAAGGCAAATGGTGCATATTTTTCAATATGTGTATTCATGTTTTAAACTTTTTAAACATTTTTTAAAAAACCTACTGAATAGCTGTTTTTCTACTTAGTCTGGGACACTATGAAATGTGAAAATCCCAATGTGCCTCAAAGAAAAACTTGATACCTCAATCGCTGCTTTCTTAGACAGCATGGAGCTTCAACAGTGGTGAGCTGGCTCTTCCAACACATGGCCGGAGGACCAGCAGCACCAGCATCACCTGGGAACTTGTCAGAAGTGCAAATTCTCAGGACCTACCCCAAACCTACTGAATCAAAACTCTGGGGTGGGGCCCCACAGTCTGTGTTTTAACAGCCCTCTAGAATATTGTGAAATGGTCAGAGCTGAGAACCAATGGAGCAAATCAGCTGAGTCATTTGGATTTACAGATCTTACATATAAATAACTGATGACTTTTGGAAGATATGACTGCTCCAGGTATAACCAAATCTGTGAAAATATCAACTGCATAGTAAGGGATCTGCCATGTCCAGGGTGCAGGCTGCCCTAAGTGCATACACAGTGGCATGCAGCCAAAGGAGAGAGTGTCATTTCACAGAAAAGAGGCCACATAATTTCTTGGTTCTGCCTTCCAGGGTGTGGAGAAATATGCCACCCCAGCCATACTTAATTAGGAATAAAGCCATTTATTGAATTGTAAAAACTATCTGCCATCCTTCCTGGATAACTCCAACCATGTGCTGTTTAAACCACTTCTTTTCTAAATAAAACATGCAATACATGCATTTTATTACTACTGAAGTACAACATTCTGTCATTAAATACATTACCATGGAATACAACAGTCAACTACCAATGACAAGCCTACTCTTTCTATGAATATATTACCTCTATTCTAGTTGCTTTGTTATTACATGGATCTAAGGAAAACAGGGACTTGCTAGCATTTTGACAATTATTCAGAGGTATGTAAAAAGCTCATTTTAGTAAAGAATATATAAAACACTTCCTAGCATTTTTTTCTAGGAAAAGTGAAGGCATTAAATGTTCACTTCGTTTTTTATTATATTTTTCTAAAGAAAAACTGGTTAGAGAATCTCCCCTATCAGATTTGCTGTGTTTTCAGGAGAGGTGGTGGGCCAGGTGGAAAAGGGTTACTGTGCGTCAGGAGGGAGAAGGACTCAGAAGCGGATGAATGGAGTGCCCAGGCCACATCCTTGTTTAAGAATAAAAGGACAGGTAAAAGGAAATCATCCTGTTTGTCCCAAACTTTGATAAAAAACGTTCCTTGTTTTTATTGGTAGTTAATTAATTTTATTTATAATACAAATGAGGAAGAAAAACTTAGCATTCCTAAGTATAAACGTTTATGTCAATGATTACAAGTGAAAATATAACAATTTTGTTAGATCTTGTGTTCATTAACAATGCAACAGTACAGGAGAAATACAAACGTATAGTGAGACAGATTAGGGTTTTAATTCCATCTCTGACAAGTACTAGCTTTGTGGCTCTCACCCATTCTCTCATTTTCAGTTTCCTCATCTGAAGAATATAGCCAATTTATAAGATTTGATAAGAACTTAAGATAAATATTTATCACATGCCTTACACAGAGTAAGTGATCAATAAATCCTTATTAAGGTAATAAAGAAAATTAATGTCTAGAGAATCGATGTGGGTATACAATCTCCCTAGCTGAATTGAGGATTATACCACAGGGTCTTAACTCAATAAGCAACTTCTCCTATTTCACCTACATGTCAAATAACTATAAACTGTGTGCTCCCTGCTCCTCATTTTTTCTAAAACACTTGGAAGGAGGACAGGAAGAGACACCTAAAAAAACAAATACTCCTTTAAAATAAGTAGTGCATATAGAGATAACACTTTGGTAAAAGCCAAAAAGAATTGCTTGAAGAACTTATTTCATTTATAGTGAGGGAAGAGTGTTATTTCATTTCTAACGAGGTAAAGAACATTTGTTCCTTTGATCCTGTTTTCTTCCTCATACTCTCACAGCATTTCCAAACAACGTGTTGGGATTATGGATCTGCTTCTCTATGTTAAAGCCCCTCCGCATTCACCAGAATGCGGTAGGCTGCTTTAGCCAAAGATGCAGGGCTATAAACCTTGTTCAGTAAGTTCAATAAGATCACTTTAATACTATTCTAATCTTGGAATACAGTTATAAAGACAGATGATAGCCACAGAGTGCTACTTACAAACAGAAATGGCTCTTAGGCAATCTTAAAAGATATAAAAAACTTACTACCTGAAAATGCATTTTAAAAAATTCCATATGCTGCCACTCTATTTTACATACCTGAGAATTTTTTTAGGAATCTGTGATGGAGAAGAATGATTCCTTTTCTTCTTCTCCTCTGAGTCCTGCAGTAATGCACCCTCTGTCCTACCCTTCTCCGTGACTGCTGTCTGGTCTGCCCCAGCCTTGCTCTGATCCACGCTCAGCTGGCCTTGGGCGGGGTCACACCTGTACAAGAAGACAATGGCTGGCTTCTCACTGGGCTCTCCTTTTGTCTCTGTGAACCAGTGCTGTCGCTGCACTGGAGGAGGAGGCAGCATGTGGATGACTGTGCCATCCAAGCCCACCAGTTTCCCTTTCTCTCGCTCTTTTTCTTTGTCATCCTCTTCATCTGTTTTCCGACGGCGGAAGAAGCTTTTAAATGATATCCAGCGCTTAGGCTTTGCGTCGGCTGCCCGCCTGCTCCCTTCAGAATGCAAAACTGATTCGGCTTCTGTTGATCTGGCAGGGCTGGTTGGCTTGGTCCAGTTGGTGAAATGCCTCTGCAAAAGGTTACTTGCATGGTAAGGAGAGGAAGTAGAGCGTGGTGGGGGAAAAGGAGGTGGTGGCTCACTTTGGAGGTTAGTCACTAGCTTGGAGGGAGGGGAGGTGACTGGCTTTGTGAGTGGATCTTTCTGTTCTTTGGTGGTAGGACTTTCTACGGTCTGAGGGGCTTCAGCTTCACCACTAGACTGAGCTGTAAAGAGAGACTTGGGCCGGGCTGGTGCACTCTTCAGTGCCGCTTTAGCAGCACCGGCATCTGGAGGAATGGCATAGAGCTCCTCCACACTGCAGACGTCAGGGCCAGACTGAGGTGCTTCTGGAGGAGACTGTGGGGGCTGGATGGAAGCCACAATCTGAGAAAGCACCGCACTTGCTTTCTCCCTGTTGCTGCTGCCGCCGCCACTGCCCACCATCTGAGACTCCTGAACACCCTCTGTTTTGGCCATAGGCTCCTCAGTGGTTCTCTGTATGTTTGCTGGGGAGTTGTGGCTGGAACTATAGCTTCTCTGTGGTGAAGACTGACCTCTGTTGAGACAGTTGTTAAACTCCTGAACCTTCTGAGCCACGGAGCCCCTTTTACGCTCTGTGCTGTTTGAAACCCCTTTAGGTTGAGGACATTCGGTGGGTTTGTTAGTGGTGTTATCAGACACTTTGCTTTCAGTTTCTATTTCTTCATAAGTATGGCTTATTACGCTTGTGGTTTTTTCCTTCACTGAGAGTTCTCCACTTGTTCCCAGAAAACTTTTGTAGATGGCTAGATTGTCATATGCATTTGGATTAATAACAATGGGAACTTTGATAGCATTTTTGGAACTTCGAGCATAAGTTGGCTCATCATGAATGATAATTGGAAAAGGTGGCATACCAGCATTGTTGTAACTATTAAATTTTATTTCAGACAAATTAGGTGACTTAACGGGGATGGTTTTGGAGGAAATGTTTGTAGCTGTGGGTGAAGTAGGAGCTGATTTGTGACAGGTTTTCCTTGGAGGGACATTTGGTCCAGTTCTACCAGTAATTAATTCCACTTTAGGTATCTTTTGTCGTGGACTGGTGCTGGAAGTCCATACTTCCTGGTATCGGATTGCACTGGATTTTTGGAAATGGGCACTTACTTGTCCTGATGTCAATGCAGGTGATGCCACTGGAGAGTTTGGAGTAGAAGATGAGCTTTTTGTCTTGGGGCTGTTAACAGGGCCCTCAAGGCGCTCACTGGCCATGGCTGCTGACACATCCACAACGGTATATGGCTTACACAACGGCTGTTCCAGATTCACAACTCGGTAGGGCTTTGCTTGTTCTTCCACAGGGACAAGGTTTATGGTTACTGCTTGCCCAGCAATATCTGTAGAGGTTTTACTTTCTTGCTTCTCAGTTTGTACAGCAATCTTGCCATCTTTCTCTTCTAATCGGAGAGCAAGGACTGCTTTGTGTGTCTCTGGAACTTTTATTGAGCTTTTGAAATCTTGTGATGAGTCCTTCTCCTGATTATCAGAGAGACTTTCATAATTGGGCTCAATTTCCTTTGTGTCCTTAGAATCACCTGGGTTGCTAGGAGATATTCCCCCATTACAAATCTTCTGGGATAAACTACTGGCTGTCTCAGAACGTGATTCTTCTGTTAGAGAAGAGTCTGGGGATGTGGAGTCAGATGACACCATGCTCTGAATGCTTCCTTGTCCGTAAGAGACCACAGAATTTTCCTCATAGCCATTCAGTATTTCATCATAGCTGTCATCATAGTCTACAGCACAGATTCTCTGCAGAGACTTATTTCGCAGTGGGACAGTATTCCATTTTTTATCCACAAAGAATCGAACAGGAGACAAAGTGTTTGCCCTAAAGTTGGCAAAGCGAGGTTGCCCTCTCATGCGAATCTCCATAGCCAATAGCTCCTCATCGCTCTCATCCCAGCTCTCATGCTCCTCCTCCATGTTGCTGAAAAGTACATCTTCCTCACTCTCCTCGCCACTGGAAAACTCTGGGTAACAGAACCGGCCCCCTTCGTTACTGATCACTTCTGTGCTCCCACTCAGAATAACATGCTTGCCCTGAGTATCCTTCATACCACCCAGCATGCAACTTGGTGGAAGCTTTCTTTCCAGCGATCGTTTATAGCAATCATTTATTCTTCCTAAGAATGTTTCTCTGGAGTTTGTTTCATTTCCTCTTATCTGAGGGGTGCTATCCAAACCTGCTATCTCCTTTAACACTTCAGTTAGTCCATTATTGGTATTTGATATCTTCTTTGCACTATCATTATTGCCATAAGGCTTAGGAACATGACTAAATACTTCAATATCATCTTCATTATTATTGTTGAGTGGTTTCTGACTCAAAGCAGTTCTGTTTCGGTTCCACCCTATGATGACAGGTCTGTTCTCACAGTGCTCTTGGATGCTAAGCTCACCACATACACTTTGTCCATCTGCCACCATCATAGTGGGTTTCACAGCTATAGTGGGTTTTTTAGCCACAGGAGGCCGGGTATTTCCGGTGTTCCTGATGCGGTAGTTGTTACTGTGATTGGCATTAGTTTTCACATTGCCATGGGTGATCGGAGCCTTCTCAGAGTCTGGGGGGAGCTGATGCAAGCTTTTAGGTTGAAAGCAATTCTTGCATTCACCAGGTTTCCAAACGTGTTCAGTAAAGGTGTTACAAGCAGACATTTTTAAAAATAGAACTTCACAGACAATGCTATTCTTTCAGTGCATGACAAAATTTTCGTCCATTAGTTTTCACCTCCTCTATGTGTTATAAGAGCTCTTCCAAGTATGATCAATCTGTAAGAAAAAAAAAGAAAGAAAAAAAAATCTGAATGAAAAAGGTACTATGAAGCTTATCATTGTGAGTGACTTGAAAAAACTAGCTCTATTCCTAAACTTTTCCTTAAATTAAAAGATTGAGAGATAAACTAATTTGGATACTTCATAATCTTCCTTTAGCCAATCAGCATCTTGGAAAATTAGCCTTTTAACCTTAATTTTATGCACTCTTATCAAACCATACATAATCTTTAGCTTGATGTCTCTGTGGCAATGAACTGTGACCTTGCCCCCTCCTGGAAATGCCTTTGATACTATTCTTTTTGTTATCCACCAATCTCTTCTTATAGAGGACTACATTTGTTAGTCCTCTATAAGTTCCTCTTTTTCCATTTAACCTTGAAATTTTAGATATTTCATAGACTCCTCAAACTGAATACATTCAAATTGAATCTTCTGGCTACCCCTGTTCTAACTCCAAGAAACTTACTCCTCTAACCAGCCCTCCTCCACACCCCAGGCCACCTTCTTACTTTTCCTTTATCCTATATTTTAGTTAATGTCATCACCATCCACCTAGACAGCTAAGCTTCAACCACACCATTCTTGGAACTTTTAACTCCAAATCTTACTAACTCCCTAAGTTGGTCTTGTCAATTTTATCTCATTACATTTTACTGGAACCTGTTCTTGCCATTACCAGACACTGCTAGTAGTTCCGATACTCACTATTTCTTACCCAGATGATTGTTGACAGCTGAAAACTGACCTCCATACCTACAGTTTCTTTCCATTCCAATTCGTCCTCTGTATCCTTGCTACTCACAGTGTGTTTCTCAGATAGGCAGTACCAGACTCACCTGAGCACTTGTTAGAAATGTAGCTGTCTTATGTCCAACCACAGTACTACTGGATCAGATTTTAATGAGATTCTCAAATGATTCCACTGTTCTATACCTCTACCAGATTTAACTTTCTAAAATGCTAATATGACCATTTTATTAACTAGCTTAAAAACTATACTGTAGCTCAATATTACCTAATGCATTGGTTCCCAAACGTCAGTGTGCAGTCTAGGGGTTGCTAGCTAAATAAGAACCTCCTGGGGAACTACTTTAGCCCTGTCTACTCGATCTCTGGTGGAAGAATCCAGGAATCTGAACTGTAAGAAGTTCTCCAGGTATGCTCAGTGAGGTGTTAGAACCTCTGAGGATGGAATCCAAGCCCCTTAGCCTTTCACGATATGGTTCTTGCCTCCCTTCTAGCCTTGTGTCTTAGAAATCAACTAGTCTCATCTTACTCTCAATCCCACTGGGTTACTCATTTCTCCTTGGTATTATCTAAGTTTTTTAGACACATATCCATGAGCCAGTGCTCTCAGTTTTAATCATCTGTGTCCCCACTAGTTTTTGGGCCCCTTTAAGGTAAGGGCTATATCTTACTCATCTCTATATGTCTAACATAAGGAACTGAATATAAACATTAGTTGATGACATGTGCTGGTTTAAGGTTTGTTTAAAACCATGAATCTTGTGGCTCTCTCTCATGTCTTAGGCGCATAGCTGCAGACTTTTCCACAGAACACCACTACAGTCCTATGTTTCTACTTTGAATATTGTAATAAAGTTGGCAGTAGGCTGGTAAGAACTATTTTAATAGCTGGAAAATTTACCTTTATTCATATACAATGATAGAGACATGATCAGAAATCCAGTCTTTTTGCCAATTTTCAATATGTTTCTATGGAATGAAAATATTTTCTTTAGCTAATATATACAAAGTGAAGTTACTCATAAACAATAATTACAAAGCACTCTGCCTTAGTGGAAGAAGCACAGACTTTACGACCAAAGAAGTTCACACAGAGAGCTCATCCACTGAATAAGGCTAACATACATTCTTCGAGTGTTTAAAAACATTTATTTACTCTTTCAGATATTCTAAAAGTTATATCCCTTAGTTGATAAAACCATTTCCTGCTAGTCTGAGACTTGAACCTTGTGAGATAGAGGGGCAAAGCAGCATAAAATTAAGCTGAAAAGGAGAGCAGGGGCCAGATCGTGCAGGGCCTTTTAGGCTTTTAAAGATTATGCAGTTTATCCTAAGAGCAGTGGGAAGCCACTGAAGGGTTTGAACAAGGGAAACAAACATAATCCAATTTGCATTTTGAAAAGATAGCTCTGACCAAAAACATGAAGTACTCAGCTATATAAATCTAATAAAATATGTGTAACATCTAAAATCTATATATGAAAAACTACAAAACACTGATAGATGGGGAAAGGCAGAAGAGAGGGGAGAGGTAAGCAAATTACAGCATATAGGCCAACTCTAGCTTGTCCCTATTTTTGTATCTGAAGCTAAGGATGCTTTTTATTTTTTTAAATGGTTGAAAAAAATCAAAAGCAGAATAAAATTTTCTGACAAGTGAAAATTATATGAAATTCAAATTTCAGTGACCACAAATAAAGCTCTATTGGAATATCTGTCACACTCATTTGTTTACTATTGCCTGTGGTGGCTTTTGTGCTACAATGGAGACATGAGTAGCTATGACAGAGACTACGTGACACTCCTACTGCTTTGTAGTGCTTTTTGGCACTCTACAAATTGCAGGAGTTCCACTGGTACATGTACACCTATGTGAAAAGACATTTTTCAAAGATAAAATATGTAAAATTTCATTACAGATATGCCTTAATAGATGAATATTTATAACTGATTTTACTGAAATTTCTATAATTATTTATAAAATCTAAAATATAATTAATATTAATTATATATATAATATAATATTAATTATATATAATATATAATTAGAAGAATAAGCTTATTCTTCTACCCAAGAAAGAATTTCATTCTTTTTACTGGTAGACCTGTGTTACAAAATATTGTACTTAATTATATTTTAGATTTTATAAAAAATTATAGAAATTTATCCTTTCTGTTGTTAAGTATCTAAATAATATCTAAAAGTATCTAAATAATATCTTTCACTTTGTCTTTTGTCTAGAAAACCTAAAATATTTACTATCTGGTCTTTTACAGAAAACGTTTGCTAGCCCCTGACGTAGATCAGAACAGGATAGAGATTTGAGTCCAGAAATAGATCCACATAAATATATACAGCCGATTTTTGAAAAAAGTAAAAAAGATAATCTTTTCAACAGATGGTGTTGGAACAATTGTATCCCTATAGGCAACAAAATGAGTCTCAAGCTATATCTCACACCATACTCAAAAGTTAACTCGAAATAGATTACAGATCTAAGTATAAAATATAAAGCTATAAAACTTTTAGAAGAAAACATAGGAGAAAATCTTTGCAACCTTAGGTTAGGCAAAGAGTTCTGAGATACAACACCAGAAGTGTGATTTATGAATGAAAAAATTAATAAATTTGGACTTCATCAAAATTAAGAATGTTTGCTCTGCCAAAAATACCAATAAGAGAATGAAGACAAGCTACAGATGAGGAGAAATGTTTTGCAAAATATATATCTGACAAAGGACTTTGTATCTAGAATATATAAAAAACTTTCAAAACTCAAAAAAAAAAAAGAGAGAAAAACCAGGTTAAAGACTTGAGCAGGCATTTCAAAGATATAGAGATTGCATATATAAGCATATATGAAAGACTCTAAATATCATTAGTCACACAGAAATGCAAATTAAAATTGAACTACCAATAAAATTAAACTACCATGTTTACAAGAATGGTTAAAATAAAAATAAAAACAAAAACTGGTGCTGGCGAGGATGTCAAACAATTGGAACTCTCATATATTGCTGGTGGGAAGGCAAATGGTTCATGCACTTTGGAAAGCAGTTTGGCAGTTGCTTATAAAGTTAATCATAAACTTAACCTTGGAACACAGCAGTCCCATTCTTAGGTATTTACCCAAGATAAATGAAAACTTTTGTTTACACTAAAACCAGTACATGAAGGTTTACAGTTAAAACTAGAAACAATCCACATGTTGTGTGATGGTAGTTACATAACTACATGCATTTTTCAAAACTCAATGAACTATTCACTAAAAATGGTGATTTTTACTATATGTAAATTAAACCTCAATAAATCTGACTTAAAAAGATAGCTCTGGGTGCTGTGAAGAGAATGGACTGAGGGAGAACAAGACAGGAAGCAAGGAGACTGCTTGAAGGGCTGACTTGGACAAAGCACGACCTGACGAGGGTCTGGATCAGTGTGGTGTCAGGGAAGGCAGAGAAAGACGGACGCAGGAGTGACCAGATTCTGGAGACAGTGAGAGGTACTGAAGCTTTGAGCTTATGTGTTCAGATGACTTGTGGAGCAATATTGGAGGAGGTGCAAGCTTTGGAAGGAAGGCTATGAATCCACAATTTGTCAGCCTGCATATAAGAGAGTAGGCAGTTGGATTTAGGAGTCTGGAACACAGATGAAAATTCTGTAGTTCTCATCTGTTTGGGAATTAAGAGTATAGGAATATCTATGCAAAAAAAAAAAAATATATAGTGAGCTGAGGAGGTGGCCTTGGTGGCTGAACCAGGGAGAAGAGGATAACTCCTCCTCCCAAAAAGTAACAGCCAAGGTGTTATGACACAAAAGCCAGAGAAGGAAATGTCATGAAGGAGGGAAAAGACAACTATTAATATTTCAAATGCTGCTGAAAAGTAATGGAAAATGAAAACTTAAATACTGCCATTGGACTTGGCAATGCAAGCTCATCAGTGACCTTAGGGTGAACTATTTTGGTGCAGCGGTGTGGAAGGAAACCAGACTGCAGTGAGTTAAAGAGTGAGGTGGTAGAGCAATGGTAGATAATTTTTGGAGGAGTTTAGGTGGTAAGTGGAAGAAAGAAGGAGCTGGGAAGATTGGAGCCCAGAAAGAATTTCCTTATTTTAAGATGGGAGAAACTAGATGATGCTGAATGGATAATATTGGAGAAAGACACAGGAAGAGTGAGAGAGGCTGAAAAGACAGGAAAAAGAGTGGATAGTCATAAACCTCTGAATGTTAAAACTGAGCAGGTTCC